GTAATGTGAATAAAGCAAATAATGCTAGCAATTGTAATCTAAGTGATGCAAACATTTCCAATGATTATAAAGCTAATGCGATCCATGCAAAATTTCTAATGATTTTAACCCTAATATGAATTCAAAGCTCCTCCAAATGGAATGTGGAATAGTGCCAAGAATGTTAATCAGCCTTAAGCGATGATGCAGCAGCAGCATATCGCTGTAATTTCCATGCAGTCTATATTCCTGTATTATAATTATGTTTGGATAATATTAATTTCTCTAATTTTCTAAAATATTTAGTCACTGATCTACGTGATATTGCATTTCTTGGCCATCCCAACGTCGTTTTTCTTAAGCTACTTCTGAACAGTGCTGATGATAAAAGTGCAATAAGTGCATTTTTTCTAAACAACTGTATATAAAAGTACACACAGTAAATTTAAGGCATTCAAGGCCAATAAAAGTGTTATTAAGAGGCTAACTCTCCAACTTAAATAAGGAAGAAATTAGAGCGGGGCTTTCAGGTTACTAAAGTCTTGCAATGAACTAAAAATCGCACCAAAGCACCTATGCTCTTGTTCCAGGTGCTGTTATGGCAATCTGAAAATATCAGCAAAATCTATTAACTAATAGATCTAATGTACTTCGCGCTGAAAGCTGAAAAGTGTGTGGCAAAATACTAAGTTCTCCAATGTTTCAGTTGCCAGAAATGGCACCACTTGTCTAAAAAGTGTTACGTTGCGGCACATTGCGTCATGTATGCCGGATTTCGCAGGAGCTTTGATTACCTATTATAAAGGCAGAATAGAAAAGCCCAAGAGCAATAATTACTGGGAAAAAAGACATCCTGCATCATTGATCGTCGTATAATTGTAGCATGTTTGCAACGAATAAGATACCAATTAAGCCGACTAAAGTCAGGTCTGGAACAAGTTATTCACAAGCTGCGAATTCTGAAAATTTCAGTAAAAGTAACACGTCTCGAAATGAGGGACAAACCTACATAAAAGAATCTGCAGCTGCTGCAATGTCAGCTAATCTATTCTCAAATATGGGTAATATTAGAAACTTAATAATAGTAATAATGAAATCGTAGTTGTGATTATAATAGTTTCGCATATTTGCTTGGATGGGTGAAAATATTTTTTGAATTCCAAAATATTTTTGGTGCTAACTAAGGCAAATAAATAGACTCTTCAAACGTAAACTCACCAATCTAAAATAAATGCAATCCCAAAGATATCTGTCAGAAAACTAACATACTTTAACGCGCATTAAATGAAAAAAAAATGAGTTAGCCAAGACAAATAAGTATCTCAGATCACTTCAGTGGTTTAACGTTCGTTTATAACTTCAAATTCCTTTTAGAAAATTTCTTTTCGACATCTTATTCTTATTGCAATATTACTGGATTACTTGCATTAATTTTATCTTCGAACCCCCCTCCTCACAACATTAGGCCTCGTTTCTAAATTTGTATGTTATTGAAAGAATGTCCCATTCCCTATTTACTCCCTATCATAGGCTCATCAAGATTTTATTTCCACTCCAGCCTCAACCACCATAATCCATTTTGTTTCCTTTCCGCAGAGTGTAGCGGCATGGTCACGTGGTTTCGTCGTTGACCAAATTTATCGTCGTATAATTTGTTTTTGTAGCTCCTATACATCAATGTTATCGCCAGAAGGAACATGTTTTCGTTTCATCAAATGTCCATTCCAATTTCAATCGTTTTCAAGTATGAGCAAGGCCTTACCGTGCCAGTACACCATCCTGATAATCAGGGCTTAAATTGCGCCGGAGCAGGGCTCCGGTACTTCTCAGTTTTCGAGAAAAATTATAATTTCAGCCGGAGCTCACCGGAGCACTAAATAAAAGGGCTTCGATACTTCTTTTATGTAAGTGAAACACAATTTTAGCAGGTAAATATTTTTCTTAACAGTAAAACATGCCTTAAAAATCCATTCTAACTTCTGTCTTTCCCTCGTACTCAAGCCTTGCTTGAGTGCTTGAGCTTTTTAAGGAAAGAAAAGCCTCCAAGGTATATGTCAAAGGCTTTTTCTCCAGTATCTGCAATGAATTTATGACAGCGGGCAAATTTTGTGTTCCTCAAAGTACTAAAAATGATACCCTGGTTGTACACGTTCCATGCTAGTGACTTCCTATTGCAGAGCTTCTGTAGACTTTCTGAACAATGTAACCGGTCTTCCGTTTACTCTTACGTTGTTAACGAATCGTACTCAGGGAAAATTTCTGCATGACGGCTAGAATTATATCGACAGGGCATCGCGATCAGAAAGTCTTGAACTCTTAGCTCTTTATTTTCGAAGCTACACTTTTCCGTTAAAATTTCCTTCCACATCCTCATACTGTTTCAGATTCTCACTATTCTCCTTAGTGGAGCTTTAATCGTTTTATCTTTTTTCCTTTGTGTGCTGCAAAAAGAGTGGTACCTGTCATCCTTTGGAATAGTACATTATACGTATAATCAGGGCTTAAACTCAGATGGAGATCGGCTGAGCTGCTTCTTAGCTTCTTAGTGGAATTGTAATTCCAGCCGATGCCTCAAATAAGACAAGATCCGGTTATTTTTCTATTTAACTATTTAAATTTAACTTAATAATTTATTACATTTCTCTTTATATTTCTTTTAATTTAATTATTTTAATTTTTTAGCTATTTTATTTATTTATTTTTTCTTTCGTTCCTCACAGTCTTCCATAGAGCTCCGACATTTCTAATTTTAGAAATTAAGCCCCACTGATAATATGCTCATCAAAGCTCGAAAATTGCCATCACGAGTCACTCTAGGATAGCGGCTTTCTTTTTTGTGCTCCTTTTCAAATTTAAATAAGAGTCTGATTATGTATTTTCGGTAGTGCATGAGAAGATTTACTGTTAATACAATGCAAACATTTTGAACGAATGCTTAAGAAACCGTTGAATTCCAAGGAAAGTGGATTTGAGATATGCTTATTTTTAATTGTTCCCTCATCCTGTAAGTTGCTGATTATGTAATTTTTCTTTCCAAAATTTCAAACAGATCGGTTATTCAACTTATTAACTTATCGTTCTTCATGCATTAATTTAATTAGAGGTTATATTAAATTAAGTCCCTGCTATAAAGTCCTATTATAAGCCGATCTCCCTTCTAGAGTTCCAGCGGCCGAGAGGTGAAGTCGCTGAACACTGGTAGTTCGGCTGGGGGGGTCGAATGGGCTGGCCGCATGGACGTTTTCACGGTTTTCACTAAGTTTCACGTGTATACGAGCCAGTTTTTCTTAAAACGTTCTCCACGAAAGCATCCCTCCCCTTTGGCAGATAGCCCTCGAGTGCTTAATTAAATAAACCAAACCAACTTAAATTAGGAGAATTGTGTATTTATTTTCTTCTTGCCTCATGAAACTGATTGAAATTGGCAACCTAATACTCTTTTGTTATTTTTTCTGATCATTAATATGTAAAATGAATCATACGAAATGTTTCTTTGTAGATTAAACTAGACTTTATCGTAATCTCTAGCGATATGGAAAATGCCTACATTTGCTTAAAAAATAATAACAAGTTTATATGCATGGGTAAAATGTTTAGTTAAACGAACATTTTTGCTGAAATGTGCATTTAATCATATTTCGAGTAATACCTACTCGATATAAATTCATACTGAATTTATATTGTTCAGCACAACAGAAGTTAAACATCAAGATGATTTCGTGTCATTTCAATTCAGGGAACACTAGAAATATTACTACACGATTTCGTTACATCACTGAAAACCGAATTTCAGAAGGATATCACCTAACAATATTAACTGAAATTAGAATTAATAAAATTTTTAGCCCTGTAATTTTCCTAATAAGTTCAATAGTGTGCTGCTAGGATATTTTATTTGTAGTTATTTTGAATTTCTAATGCGTGGTAATACTTGTAGGGTTCTGCTGCATTTAAAAGCTTATGTTAAAATCGTGCAGACCCTAATGGAATGGAAACTAAGTTATCTCTTTCATTTGGAACAAATAACAAGTCTTCCGCGAAGGTTAAAATAATCTTTATTGTTATTACTATTTAACTCTTTAATGAACAGAAAGGCACTTGCTTGTGCGACAGACATTCCTCCGCTACTTACGGGTAAGACATAATTAACATAAGATAAATTCCGATGTAATTAAAGTAGTCTGAGACAACATACAAAACAGACTACTTAAACAGGCTCTAAATGATTTTCGTGAGTATTTCGAATCGTCGGCTAGCAACGTGCTAAAATCGGAAATTCAGTTTGGCATAGATAGCGATAGTAAGTTAATCACAAGATAAGGCTCTCATCTAAGCATTTCAATACAAAGCTTAAATGTACAAGCAATTGATTTGCCTTCTGGAGAGGACTACGGAAAAGAGAAGTTACAGTAAAGGCTTAAATCGTAATAATTGGTTAATTAACAAAAAATACCTTATATACTCTTGTGGTAAGTATGTTATTTTATGCATCTTTTCTTTGATATTACATATACAAAAGGAATTAAAAAAGCTTAAACTAATGATACCAAAGTCAGAACAAAAATTAGCATCCTCATGAAAACCTTAAGGCAGTTTTTCCCTGCAACAGCAACTTAAATAATTCACGAGATTTTGGTAACTACATGAATCATTTAACATATGTACGTCAAATAAACAAGAATAATGTAAAAAAAATATTTGTTTATGAGAGTCTATTATAAATTCATAAAACATAAGAGGAGGAAATAAATTCATAACCATTAGCAACTTCGGCATAGAACAGTTTGAAAATTATAATAATAAAACATTTTGTTACTAATGCCTTGAATTAATAAAAACAAATAAGTAAATAAATAACATCTTCATTGACAAAGAGAATTATTTTATACTAAAAGATTTAACGTCTCAAAAACGCTATCTTAACTAAAAACCAGACATACAGAAATTGGGATATATGTTATTGATGTTACAAGTATACGGTATACATATGTTTTATATATAACGTAATTTTTATACATTACTCAAAAGTTAAACCCAAGATGACCAAGATGATAAGAGAAGTCTTCATTGTTTCTTAGATATATTCTAGAAAATTTTGAATTTGAACGAAAATCGATTGATGTACTTCCGACACAAAATGTACTGAGACTGTTTTCGTTAACAGCTGTCAAATGTTTTTTTATCTTATCAAACAACAGCTGCAACATGATCTTTCATTCTCAGGTGAAACTTGGCGATTCTACCTATGCTCAGATTTATTGAAAGAACTTAATAGCGATTCGTATTTCTAGTACTTATTCTATTTTTCTGTTCGACTAACTACTGTAAAGGGGAGGAAAGAAGTTTAACATGAGTGTCACTGAATGATTAGAAATAGCAGAATACCATGATGCCGGAAATATATTTTTAAACGCAATTACTATTTACATGTGGAAGATACGCACATCAATATAAAATAAAATTTTTGAGAGTCTTAGATTGACGTAGATTTCATACAAAACTCAATTTTGTTTATTTAAACAATGTCCAGAAGTATTCGGTGGCTAAGACATCTGCGGCTAGCCTTATGCGCGTCTTCATGGTTTCTCTGCATGTAACCTGAAAACAAGCCCGTTGCCCTTATGAAGTCTTCTCAGAATATATAACCTCTAGTCAAATAGCATACTTATGCTTTGCAGTAATCAAGAAGATCCAATCCATGTTTTCTTAAAAACTAAAACTCAGTATTTGAATTTTAATTACATAAATTCTACTGCACAGTAAGGTTGTTCTTTACGCCTAATTTTATGTCTAGTGAACAAAACTGGTATTACCTACTTACGAATTTATCAAACTCAAGATTCCTTATCTGGGCTATCATGAAGCTGACTGATTTTATTTTCGAGCTTTCCTTTAAGCCTCGTTTCGTCATGTCCTTTCTCAGTCCAGAAGTTTGTGCAGATTTTAGCGCAAGCAGCGTAGTTTAAATTGATATGAATAATAGTAACCGTAATGACTTGCAGTAAAGATATTTGCTGTTGCCACCGTCTTGTCTTGCCACGGAAGTTTCTGTTTGATTAAAATTAATCGCCGGATATTTAGCCCGATTTTGTGAATGTGAAATTTAGTAAAGCATGCTGTTCCACCCAGTTGTTATCCGCAACTTCGAGGAGCACTGGTTTTTGTTGTAGGGTTTTCCTCATTTTGCATAACAAATTTATTTTAAGTTGATACCTTTACCTGTTCTTCTCAACTTCCCCTCACATTCTCTCGCCAGGATGAAAATTCAAAGTTAAGTGCATAACTGCAATTCATGGAGACATCTTGATTTTATGTTTCTATTATTTTAACCGGCTTCACAGCCAGTTTAAGCTAAGGGTAATGACTCGCCACTACAGTAAAGGTAACGTTTGAGAGGAAGTGGTTGGTAGAGCTACCCTCAAAATCATCTATTTAGTGGTTGGTAGATCATCCCTCCTCATTAAATTTAAACTTAGAAGCAATGTAGTTTTCATAAACTTCTCCTTGCCTTCAATCGCAACAAAATTGTGAGTGACGTTGTAAAGACATTAGGTATTTTTGAAGCAGAAAAGATGAAAACTGAGCAACGTCTTCGCCCGGAATCGAACCACGGACCTCTGGAATACGCAGCCAGCGTGCAGACGACCACACCACGAAGGTATGTCAAGAAGGCGGGAGAAATACTTGATCGTAATTCATATAGGTCACTACTCTGTATATGCAATATTGATAAATTTTCAAGTGTTATTGAGAAATTGTTGATTGTAAGCAGTTTAAATTCTGTTAAACGATCTTCCTCTACTTGCATTATAAATAAGCAAACTAAGGAAAATTTTTAATGGGGAGAATGGATTCCACATTTGGAAAATAATAAACAAAATAGCAGAAATGGTTCGGTCCATCACTGAAAAGTTGCACGTCAAGGTCATATAAATAGAATTTGAAAATATAACTTAAATTACTTTTTGTAGAAATGAATGGTCCATCAGCAAAATTAACAGATTGACTAAATAAGTCTAATAGACAGATAGAATAGATAGAACTTCGAATAGATCAAATACATATTCTAATTTTTGTTTTCCTTTTCTCCAATTCAACGATTAAATTGCCAGAAATAACACTTAAAATTTCTACTCGAACCTTTTCAGTGCCTTCGAAGTGTTTTTCATTGTCTGTATTTTCATCAGCAAAACTTTTCCTCTATCTTTGTTGTCACTCTCATCATCATTCGCTTGCCTTACAAATACAGACAATGTGAAAACGTGTGTGCCAGTGGCAGTCGTTGCATACTTCAATAAGGAATAATGTCTAATACTGAAATTATATCCGTATTATATTATTGTTTCTTTCTCCTTTCTGCGAACATTTGCTTATTTTGTTAATTCTAGGCAACAACTTTTTCCGCAAGGTAGTAATTAATCAAGGTTGTTTTGTCTGTGTCAGATTTTTTTTTTTTTTTTTTTTTGTAAATGATTTTACCTTTGTTCTGACTGTGATCTTTCATCTTCAGATGCAGAAGCTTTAGTAAATGCTTTTTTACTCTCACCGTATCAGCTTTTTAGCAATGTGTTGCTTTGGTTGAAGTTGGATTTAAGTAATTTATCTAAACTTATATTTGAAATTTTCTTCTATACAATGTTTCAAATATTCCGCTTGTGAAATTTTATGGGCACATATCCAAAGAATCTTCAACTGTTTTTCCATCAGCTTTACGAAACATTGCACAATAGTTAACTAGTTTATAATGCAATAATTTAGAAGTATTGGGAACATCTTATTTCTTCACAGAAACTTAAAAGTTCTTTCGCCGTTATAATTAATATCTGATCATAAGTTTGATGAGACAGATAGTTTGTTCTCCCTGAAACACAGTATTCATATCTCTCCAGATGGTTTTCATCGACTCATCAAAACCTCCTAGCGCAGAGCGGTAAAATCGCTGAACACCTATAGTTCGACCTTGCTTCAAATTTCGGCGAACATGCCGGCTGCATAGGAGTTTTCAGAGTGTTGTCCTATCTGTTAACTCGGATACAAACCAGTTTCTCTGAGAAAGTCCTCCAGGAAGACATTTCTCCTCTTAACATAATCATAGCAGTTAACCAGTTTTAGGCATCTGACGAAATGTAAAGGCAGCAATCCAACTGAAATTAAATGCATACGTTCTGTCAACTGTTTCCGTGATTCTAAGATAGAGTTTGTGGGAATACATCCTAATGTTGTAAATGCGGAAATACATCCTAATGTTGTAAAAGCTCATAAAAATTATTAATTGGATGTATTACAAACTAGAAATGCGGTCTCTAAGTTTTCTTCTTTTAAGTATTTGGTACAAAATAAAACGAAGATATAACTTACTAAGGACAGATTTCAGAAATGATAAATGCCCGAGTTGGGCAGAGTAATGTAATGGCCTCAGTAACTGAATAAATTTCGCTACAGGTATTTGTAGGGTTTATATTTATTTTAACTAACATTTATTTTAAGTTTAAACTATCTTTCCTGTCAAGCCTTACTTTCCCCTGGAACTGCCAATGCCAGAGTATGTAAATTTTAGTAGAACGCGCAAGGATTCAAATTATCAGCGGAAGTATTCTGAGTTAAATAGAAAGGAAACGAGTTCGAGGTGTGCTGTTCTTACTTCACGAGCGCGGAGGTAGTTAGCCAGAAATTGAAGAACCCCCGCGTTTCGGCCTGTGTGCTTGCCTGGAAGAATTGTTAATCGTTCAAGTGATCTTCAAGTTTGCTGAATTAGCAGCGGTATTGTAAAACGCGGTGAGGTTAGTTACTTTTAGAGAGCCTCGTAGTTTAGAGTCTTGTCATTAGTTTCTTTTCAGGTTATTATTTTTATTTTACCGCCGAGTTGGCGTAGTTTGTGAGCGTCAAGAGCACGCACTTGTAATTTATTACGTTGAATAAAAAGGGACTTAAACCCTTAGCAAGACTCTGTCATTTATCCAGTTTCAACAGTCACCTCTTGGTTGCGTGCAAGTTGGAGGCGCGCAACGCTACATTGGCGCCCGAGCACTTATCGAACTGAAATGGCCGAAAATTGGATGGAAGCCGCTGGACAACACCAAGAAATGACAAGCCAATTGGAAGGATTTGGATACCTGGTCCAGACTTTGAGAGCGTCAATCAAGCCAAACGTCAATTTCGACGGAAAAAATTCGGTGGCGATATTTCTAGAAGGCCTAGAAAATCACTTTCAGCTCTACCCTGTGCCTGAAAGACAAAAAGTTGCCATCGCCACATCCGCACAAAGAGGACAGGCCGCGCTATGGTGGAAAATATAGGCAAATTTTTATTAGGGGAATTTGGAAGCCAGACATATACATTTGAAAATTTCAAAAAATCGTTAGTAAAGGCCTTCCCCATAGTGAAAGATCGAGCAAGGCTGGAAGCCGAACTATATAGTTTCTATCAACGGGATATAGAAGAATTGACGGACTTTATTCTACGAAAAATTAAGCTGACGGATATGCTGTATGGGAAGAAAAACCCGATGCGGAGATTATTGAAATAATCTTACCAAGATTGTTACCCGCTGTTCAAGACTACTTCGAAATTAGAAACCCAAGAACATTGCAGGAGCTCTTCGAATTGGCGGTGAAGTTTCAAAATCGCAGAATAGCGGAAAAAGCTAGAGGGGCAACATATTCTCAAAGAACCCGAAGGAAATCTTCAAATGAGGAAACCAGAAATGGAAATCGCTCTTATGGGGGAAAGAGCTATCAAGCTAACTCATCGAACCTCGAAGGTCAAGGCCCAAAAAGAAAATTCGAAAAAAAAACATCCGCGTACCCAGAAGGCACAAATTGAAAGGAAAGCTTTAAACGAGTAGAGGGGCCTGTGAAAGGGAGGGTCCAGACCCCGGAAGTTTTAAAAAAACCCTCAAAAAGACATTTAAATACGGTCATCGTAAAAAACTCACATCTACCAATTATACAAGTCCTGGTTGGCGATGTACCAGTAGAAGCCCTCATCGATACAGGAGCAGAAGGAAATTTTATGAGCGAAAATTTCTTCAAAAAGAATTTTTATAGGGTACGATTATTTAAAACCAAAAATACGGAAATTATAGCGGCGCAAGGAAAAACATGTCACTGCATCGGGAAATTATCATTAAACATACAGGTAAAAGAGGAAAGCCTCAAAGTATTAATTTTTGTAGTGAA